AGACTTTTAAATGGGCACACACACATCTATATTGAACAACAATGGAATGGTTTCTGTATGTGGCACTTTGTAATCTGTCTTCTCACCTAAAACATGGAGTATCCTTTTTGAGGCTGGCTCAGGTGCAGCTCTCAGGTAGATAAATTCCCCCATGTTCTAAGTTTTTCCATATGAACCAAAGCCATGGGAAACAAAGCTGTGGGAACAGCACCCCCTAGGACTCCAGCTAGAATTCGGCAAAAGCTAATCCAGATAAGTAAAATCCTTACCAGGGGCAGGGTCTGCAGGACCAACAACAGCAGGGACACTGCCTTCACACCCTGGCCTAGTCTTGCCTCATGGGGGCGCTAGAGAGTAGTGAGGAAAAAACACTCCTCCAGGTTGAAGGATGTTGGAGACGACCTTCTATGAGCTCATGGAGGTTCTTTCTATAGACTAGAAAATTGAATGCTAGTGACCCATGCAAGGACAGATAGTGAATAAGGAGCTGGGCAGTCAATGACCCCGTGTTTTGATTCTTGGCCTCTCACTGAAGCCCCATCCAGCTCACAATTCATGCAGGAAGATGGAAGTCTGTGAATGAGGCAGCTGGGTCCTATTCTTCTCTAGCCACTAACTCTGACTTGGGTACAACACTGGCCCCTACCATGCTCAGTGGCCAGTCAGCCTCTGAGAGTTGTTGTGGAATGTTCTATACTGATCCAGGTCTCACATGGGAGGCTGTAGGAAGCCAGAACACAGGCCCGTACGTGCTGGGATATCATGAGTGCTAGCCCTTTCTCTTGGCCCCAGAGCAGGTGAACAAAACTAACTCAGAGGGGATATTTTTCTTCAAGGTCACCCCAGACACCTGAGTTTTACCATGGTTATTGATCACTTCCAGACAGAGACCTTGTTAATTTTGCACTTGGTTTTAATAGACCCACAGGGTGGAGCCCTTGCCCTCATTTTCACATGCATATTAATAACACCTGCAGAAGAAAAGGAAATTCTTTCGGGAACTCATGCAGTGCCGAGTCCTGCAACACAAGTGGCTCAGGCATGCTGATCCCCAGCCAGAAGGGCCTGGGCCCCTCCTGATCGGGAGATACAAGGGAGCAAGATGGATATAACGAGGTCGGGGGACAACTCAGTCTGTGCAGAATTTCCTCCCCCAGGAACCCAATAGCTACTTGTCCTGCCTCAATGCTCCCCTCTCCAAAAAGTAATGGGAAGAATACCTAGTTTTTCCTCCTGGTGTGTATCTTGCAGAAGGTGGTGCTATGACCAGTAGTCCAAGATCTGAAAAAGAACATGTCACCTGTGGATCAGTACACATAGCCTTTTTTTTTCCCCAAAAAAACAGGCTTGGTCCATGTTTTTGGAAAAAAAAATCATAGTTATATGATCATCCTGTTTTCCCAGAAAGCAGAGTTTTTTCATAATTGTATGACCAATTTAGATGTCAACGTCTTTCATGGTGTAGGTGGACTAGTCAAATGCCTACCTCAAATATGTAAACTATTAATGTGGTTATACATTCATAATTAAAGTTATATTAGAAACTTTAGATTTACTCTGTATTGGAATCTATGACATTTGCATTTAAAAATACTATATATTTTTTTTGCACATTATGAAACTGAACCTTATAAAATTGCCGCTTTGGGTGGATCAGTTGAATGAGCAGTTGTATGCGGTGCCAGCCTAGTATTTGCAGTGTGTCATCATGTAGCTCCCTTTTCTGAGTCATCTGTGCGTTTGGCTAGAGCAGAGAGTCATCGCTGCCTGATTTCAGTTAGAGATGCCGCCCTTTTGAATCTATGTCCTGCTATCACTGGACATTCCTGCACCGGTTGTGGCATTAGTTTATGCTTCATTGATGTGACTTTGCTCGGTTTTGGTGTGACTCTGCTGTGCATTAGAACCTTTGCACTTTTCCGTCACTCACTGAGAGAACTCAGACCCTAGACATAACCACTTATTTTTATAAGTGATCTGTAAACATTTTTACACCATCCTCATTTGTGATCATGAAGTCCTGTCTTCAAGAATAATTTTTTGCCTCCTCTTTATTTTTTAACTCCTGTGTTATCTCCATTAGATCCATAATGAGCCCTGACTGAGGTCATTCAGGTGAGTGGCATTTTCCCAAACAGTACCTTGACTACAAAATCATTGAAAGCACTCCTCACCCCTGCCTCTGAACTGTAAGAGATTTTGTTCTAACAGTAAGCAACTTACTCTTCTAAGAATAATTTTGACTGAAAGCCTTCACCCCTTATATCCAAGCACAGCTGTCACCTACATATAAACTCAGCAATCAAGCTGCAGCTGGATGTCATTCTGGCTTAATTATACGTATCTGTATATAAATATACAACTACTTCACACAGGATGACAGAGCTCTTTGCATTCTTCATGGGGCAGAAGCTCAGATTAAATCAGGGCCTCACAGTTCCAGCTGCTCATTGCAACCACCTGGAGAACTGTCAAAAACAATGATACCCCTAAACAGTTTGATTTTATCAGTCTGGGACATCAAGATTATTTTTAATATCTTTATTTCTATGTGGTGCTGAGGATTGAACCCAGTGCCTCACACTTGCGAGGCAAGCGCTCTACCACTGAGCTACAGCTACAGCCCAACAAGATTTTTTTAAAGCTCACCAACTAACTCCAGGCTGCAGACCCTAGCTTCTCCAGGTGAAATGACATTGTTCTAGCACCTGTCCCAAGTTCAAGGTGATCCTAATGGTAGAAACCCCTGCTGACTCCCAAGACCATAAGCTGCATTTGTAATGCCGGATGACTTTTCAGGGGCTTGAGCCCAGTGTCCTCTGATGAGGAAATGGAGCCAGGCATGAGGCAGAGGCCCTGAGGCTGGCCTTGTATGGTGGAGAGAGAGCCTGTGCTATTTTGAACACTAGGGCAGGAGGGTGGTGAAGGAGACAGGAATGGGAACTGCTTGTGGTTTTCCTGCGTCTCCTTTGATTTGAAGATCAGTGCCCTTCACAGTAAACATGACCCTGCTTGTCAGACAAGGAAACAGCAGGATTCACCCGGCTCACAGAAGCCCCTTGGAAAGGGAGTAGATGGTACCCACTGGAGCCCTTTGTTAACACCAAGGTCTTCTGCTGAGCCTGACTCCTCAAAGCCCACAGGAAGGCCATGGTCAGGCCCTGGGGAGGACATAGGAAAGCACAGAATCTGGAAGGCACCTGGCTTCCTCACCATGTGCAGCATTCCAGGGATAGGCCTGCTCCCTTCTCTGCACCCCGAGATGCCATTATTAACTGCAGCTGTGCAGAGCAGCCTTGGGTGTATTAAAGTTTTGCAGAGCACTCCGAGTCCCATGAAGCCCAGGGGTTGTGTGGACACCAGGGACTCCAGATGGAGAAGTTGCCACACATGGATATGGCTCTCTGCTTGAGAAGAGACCAATGTAGCAGACAGTTTTAAGGGCTCCTGCAAGAGTTAGCAAGGGCTCAGGGGGCAGAATCCAGGCAGGACAGAATGCCTGGCAGTTTCCTCCCTGGGTAACACAGTCATGCGCCACTTACAACGGGGCCAGATACTCAGAAGTGTGTCATTAGGTGAATTCGTCTCTGGGTATGTAGGAGTGCGCTTGCATAAACCTAGACGGCATGGGCCAATCTCCATGTGGCCTCTCGTGTAATCAAGAGACACACTATTAAACACAAGACATGTGAGGCTGCTGCTGGCGTAGCACAGCAAACTTTTACAGTAAATTATTTTTATAAGTAGAGGAGTACACTGACCATAAAAAGCATAGTAAATATATAAGCCAGTAGCATGGTCGTTTATTATCAAGTATTATGTTCTGCACATAATTTTGTGTGCTATACTTTTTATGTGCATGACAGCGCAGAAGGCCGTTTACGTTGGCATCACCACAAACACGTAATATGTTGAGCTATGACATTAGGACATCTGCAACATTTCTAGGTAATGGGAATTTTTCAGCTCCAGTAGACTCTTATGGGATCACTGTCGAATATGCAGTCCATGCTTGGCTGAAGAGTAGTCATGTGTCACATAACCTGAGACAACTTGTCGAGGAATGGACAGAGGATAGAACCACAGCAGAGGGTGCCTCAGGAACTTGGGATGCTCTGCTCAGCCATACTGTCCTGGCTGTAGCAACCTCTGCCTCTTTGTGCCAGGGTTTCTAATGCTGTAAATGCCAGCAACTGGGGATTTGGTGCCAAAATCAACAGCCTCAAATATTAGTCCATGACTGATATACAGTTTGCATTTCATTTAAACTTAATGCTAAGCTGCAGCCCCCCAGGCTTGTGGGAAATCTAACTGCAGTCATGATTGAGCAAAGGTCCCAGAGGCATGGGCAGCAGAAGTGCTGGGGAGACCTGTGGTAATCAGGTCCAGTCCCTTCTGGGGGCTACTGGGCCACCTGCCCACTGTCTTAAGAATTTTGAAGCCCAGATCTCTGCTTAGAACAAGTAGAAGATGAAATGCAACCAGTGTGAATTAATATTTTGGCAATCATCTTAACTGGGGCTGCTATCACAAAATACCAAAGACAAGGCAGCTTAAACCAAAGACATTTGTCTTACACAGTTCTGGAGTCTGGAAATCCAGAAATCGATGTACCAGCAGATGCAGATCCAGTGTTTGGTGGGGGCTCTCCTCCTGGTTTGCAGACGGCCATCTTATATGAAGAGAACAGTCTTGCCTCTTTCTCTTCTCATAAGGCTACTAATCCCATCCTGAGAGTCCCACCCTCATGACCTCATCTAACCCTAACCCTCCCAAAGTTCCTGCCTCCTAATACCACCCCCCTGGGGGTTAAGGATGCAACATATCATTTGGGCAGGGGGGACACCAACATGCTGTCCATATCTTGAAATGGTCTTCTTTCAGGCCACTAGTACCTTGCAAATGTTGCAAGCACCTGGGGATGACTTGCAGGACCAGGGGCAGTACATTCTGGGGTCATTGTCCTAGCCCCCACCTCAGGCTGTCCCTGTCTCTGGCAGTGCTCATCCACCTGCGGGAAGGGGCTGCAGTCCCGCGTGGTACAGTGCATGCACAAGGTCACCGGGCGCCATGGCAGTGAGTGCCCCACTCTCTCGAAGCCGGCAGCCTACAGACAGTGCCACCAGGAGGTCTGCAATGACAAGATCAACGTGAACACCATCACCTCCCCTCGTCTTGGTGAGTACTTCTGGTCCAGATTTCCAGGAGGCACTGTGTCCTGTGGACAGTGACTTGCTGCTGGTGGTAGAGTTCTATATGCCAGAAAGCTGCCTCCTTGGACAGGCTTTGAGTCCTGAAGAGGCCAGCAGTTGTTTGTTCTATAGAATGTAGGAGGATTCAGAGAATTTCATTGTCAAGAGACATTTGCTAACTGCAGTCTCAAACATAGTCCTTAAAGGTATTGGGATTCCTAGGCGTCACAGGGCTGAAGGAGGTGCTTTGTCCTGGAAATGAAAGATTCAGGAGGCCCTCATGATGTCCATGGGGGATGCTCCCGAGTGAAGCCAAAGATGCAGAGACACAGTGGAGAACAAACAGGTTTTGTGTAAAAAGTTTGGGGCCCAGAACCTGGTCCTCTATCTGTCCCAAGCTGGTGGTGGGATAAGAGGAAGAACATTTGATATTGATCTGATGACTCAACAGTTTCTGCTTTTCTGGATAAAAATTCCTGGGAAATATATCCTTGCCAAATATATTTCCAACATGAAAACTCCACCCAAAAGAAGGGGCTTTCTGAACAGCTCCATTTGGGTTTGGGCAGGGAGGGACTTTGAGATCACAAAAGTGACTCGTGGCTTTTGCCAGCCTAAGCCTGATTGGTATCCTCCAAGGACCTCCTCTGAGCAGGGCTCTCTCTCCATACTACCCTGAGGGAGATTTGGGTCATTTGTTTGTACTCTGACCTCTTGTATTTGTGGGTCCTTCAAAGTCCACTGCTCCATGTCCCCTTGTCTTCAAAATGTCAACAGTAATGGTATGCTGTGCCACAAAATAACAGTGAGTGCTACCATGCTCAGGAGCAGAGTGTCCTCTGGTCTCTCCCTTAAACGGGCAGCCAGATTACCACACTCAGCCAAGTAGTTGTGTTGGACATACGAATGTGTCCTTTGTAGCAGAAAATGGCATCTACAGTGCCCCTGGCAAGGGCTTAGTTTCACGAGTCTCTAGAGGCCAGTGGGTGCACAAGGGTAAGGGAGCCCGACACTGTCAGAGCATGGACCATCTCGATTTCCTCTAAGTGCCCTCTCTTCCCATTGTCACCTTAGCTGCTCTGACATACAAATGCACACGGGACCAGTGGACGGTGTATTGCCGGGTCATCCGAGAAAAGAACCTCTGCCAGGACATGCGGTGGTACCAGCGCTGCTGCCAGACATGTAGAGATTTCTACGCGAACAAGATGCGCCAGCCGCCTTCTCCGCCAAGCTCATGACACACGGCTCAGCAGTTGCTCAGCACTCACACTCGAGGTCCGAAGCCTGGCATTTGAATGAGTGAAATGCCCACCTTCCCAAAAGCAAACCAGCCCCATGGCCAGGACTCCCTGAAGCACACCTTGGCTCCCCCAACAAGGCCACCCCAAAAATTCAGTTGCATAGAACTTAAGAGTGGACTTGACATTGCCATTAGTGCTTTTGTTTAATATATTATTAACAGCCACTGGATGGCTTTCTACAGTAAGGAAAAACAATGGGCATGAGTCACATAATTATTATTTCTAAGGTTCCGTGTACTTCAAAAGGGAACACCTCTGGCAGACAGTTGCCGAGAGAGAGACACCATTCATTGCTTCTGTCCTGGCTTTCTTTTGACACTGAATACCCAATGCCTGTTGTACTGTGGGGGTTGGGGAGGGGTACATTCTGAAAATGATACACCATACTTAGAAGAGGCTTTATTCTGAAAGCCAACAACACGCTGTATGGAAGGACAGACGCAGACAAACCTCTACTGGCTGATCTGGAGCCCACATTTCTTAATCAACCTTCCAGATAACACAAGGATGGAACTTGGCCTCTCTGCCCATCTCTGAGAACCTATTCTCAAAACCCTGGGCCTTGCCTTGGAAGTTTTATTCCTGAGAGTTTAACTCTGCATAGACCAACAAGGAGGCCAGCGTACGTAGCACACTGCCCAAGTGGGGAGGACATTCTGAAGGGCTGGGTCTGGGGAAGCATCTACTTTTCCAAGCTCTGCTGTTCACCACGTAGGGCGACAGAAGTGCCTTTCTGCAAGGTGTGGTGAAACAGGACACATACCAGTCGGGGCAATGGATTCTACTTCCTAGCATACAGGTGGGCTCAGCACAGCTTGTCGTGTGGACTTCCCACTCCTCCGGGCGTCCACTCCAGCAGGCCCTTTGCAGAGCTTTGCACCTTTAGCTGCTGCAGCACCACCCAACAGCCCACTAGCCTTGCATTGGACCTTGGCCTTGTATCTGAAGTAAAGATTACACTCAAGACCTCTGAGGATGCAGTTCAGGCCTGGGATCTGCAGAGTAAGGCCTAACTGCTTCCTTGGGGCGGGTTTCTCGAGCTTGGTGTGCCATGACCAGTGGATGCACACTGCCCAGCTGGGATGGGCACCAGGCCTCATGGAACCATCATCACCTTGCAGAAGGCCTTCTTCATAGTCCCCTCACCCTTTGCCACAGAGCTGTTTTGTCACCCAGAATGGCCTCTTTGAGAGCACACCTTATGGTAGGACCCTGGCTGTCCCAGGCGGCCTGTTGTGCTCACCAACTTGGTGGCTATGTCTCATAGGTGCTTATGTTGAAACTTACCTTGAGAAAGTCCCTTCTCCTCCCTGGGTTCAGACAGAGGATCTCACTTGGGCCAATTTCCACAGATCATCTTCAAGTGCTTGATTTATTGGTGCTGTTTTGTTTTTGTTTTTTGATTTTTACTGTCCCCTAGCAGAGAAGTGGTAGGGATGGCCAGAAGTATATTCAGTTCCACTTGAATCAATGAAAAGTATGGAGAAAACTCCCTAGGTGCTTAAATGAGAGAATGTCAGGATGGATTAAGTGACCCGTCAGCCACCACTCCAGGGCCTGTGCAAAACACTGTGCTTTCCCAACTCAGGCCTGGCCACCAGCAGACTCCCCTGAGCCCATTTCCACAAAACCTTCAAATGCTGGGGAGCTTGAGGTGGCACTATCTTCCCCTAGTCCAAAATGCACTGTTAATTCACCAAAAGACATTTGCCTTTTGGAATCAAGAAGCAGAACAGGGGCAACCAGCTGAGGCGGCCTCGGTGACCTTTCTTGTTCATCCGCAGGGGCCCACCCAAGCAGACTGAGCATGTGCTGGTACTCACTTTGCCTGGTGCCTCTGAGTCAGGCTAAAGACTCCCCTGGCAAAAGCCCCATACCTTCAGAATGAAATGATCAATTTGGTTATTATTAAACACTCCGCTAATTCCCCAGGGTCAGTGTGTTCCTGAGCCCTTGCAGCTTATGCTGGTGCTGTCACTCTGAAATCCACCAGCCCACCTTCGGTTTAATGGCATCAGCCATGTCACCATCATGACATTCTTGTTCCACTTTGTAGGAGACAAGCTCTGAGTACCATAGTGATGTTTCTGTGTTAACAATACCCTGCACTATCACTCAAGTACTGTACCTTTGTGGTGGCACAGATGTGTTACTAACTAGAGTCTCACGGTCTCACGGTGCTATTCTTCTTGGTGCAAAATGAAACCCTCTCAGTTGACCATGGCTTGATGTGATCAGAACAGAGGAAAAGATCCTCTATGGCAATAATATCATTGCTCTTTTTTTTTTCATTTCAAAGTCAAATGTATATATTTTCCATTAGTTAACTTACATTACGTACTGTACCCATGGTATTGTTTGTTTTATTTTTTTGGTGCTGGTTTTTGGGGAAAAAAAAGACAAACATTGGTTGCCGTTATACATGAAAAATTAATCATTTCATTGGAAGCAAGTTGAACACGTGTAATAAAATGTTTTTCTGTAACAGTTTTACACTGACTGTGAAGTAAAAGACGAAAGCCAGTCCTCGAGGGCTTGGGGGTAGGGGGAGCATAGGGGGCGGGGCTGTGTCCTTTACTGCTATACTGGTCAGCTGGCCTGCCTGGGACTTGGCTGCAGGGAGCCTCAGCCTGCTGGCCTCAAGTATGGTTGGAGTCAGAGGTCTCTAGTAAATGCAAGTCTGGTGGGTGGCTGTGTCTTTCTGAGCAAGTGCTAACAAATCATTGAGTCCTGGGCCTCATCCTGTGTGGTTGCAAAACCCTGGGTGGGGATATGAAGGTCTGGCAATGGTGCTGAATCTGTGCTTCTGAAGTGGATCAGCCACACTGCTGGCCAAGCGACACATTCAGCATGGGAGTAAGTGACCCTTGCTGTAGGAACCTCCAACAGAGTGTGGGCCCTGGTCATGATACAACCCAGGCCTTCTCCCTCTGGCTGGGTTCCCCAACTCTTAGCCCATCTCCTGCCACCCCCTATCTCTGCTGCCTGCCCTACCGGCTCCCCTCCTCCAGCAGGTATGAGGCTGATCCTGGCCCTGCCTACCTCCCAGGACTGGGGACAGAGCAAAGGCACCACACTCCCACAACTGAGACAGCAGCAGCTATTTGGAACCCATCTAGACAAGACATGGAGCATTAATGTCACAGCTGGGATGGAAGGAGGGCTATTTCATCTCCTAATGGGATCAGGAGGAACTGCTCTCCCAGCAAGAACTTAGAGACGATCCATTACTAAAGTTGAAGCAGCACCCAGAAATTTCACCAAATAATTTGTTAAGCAAACTCCCCACAGCCCCTGGTGGCCAGGTATATTAATCCATTTTCATGACTGTAATGAAGTACTTAATGCAGGTAACTCTATAAAGAAAAAAGGTTCATTTTGGTTCACGGTTCTGAAGTTCCAAGGTCAAGGGGCCACATTTGGTAATGGTCTTTTGCTGGCAGAGTCCTGAGGTGGTACAGGGCCTCACATGATGAGAGATACAGAGTGAATCTGTGTCTCTTATCTCACTCTCTTCTTCATGGGGGAATCAATCATGGGGGCTCCATCCAGTGACCCTATCAAATCCTAATCACTTCATAAAGGCCCCATCTCTAAATACCATAGTCAGATTAAGGTTCTACCTTGGTAATGATGTTAACATATGACTTTGGGGAATGGATTTAATGCATGGGTTCAAGGGTACAAACCACATTCCAACCACAGGACTAGAAAACCTGTATCTTATGTTGTTAGATGAGATCCGCATGCTCCCCATCAGCAAATGTTGAATGGGTTTCAATTAGAGCCCCAGCACCTCTAGAACTGCCAAGGACCCCAATCCCTGCTGGGGATAAGCCCAGAGAGTCACACAATAGGGAATGAGTGAAGACAGTAGAACCTCCAAGAAAGGAAAGGTCTGGATTTCCTTTGGGGGTTTATTGACTGACTTTCTGGACACAGACTATGAGGCCTGGGCTGGAATTGTTTCCAGGGGCGCTCTCCCTCTGCAAAAGGTCTCAGCAAGAGCCCTCGTGTTTCTACTTCTGGGCACAAATCTACCTGCTTCACTGACAATGGGAGCAGCCTCGTACCTTCACGTAACCCACAAAGAGCTCTGCTTTCTGCCTCCCATTTCTTGCTGTCATTGGCTCTCTGGCCTCTGGCATTTGCCCAGAATATGAACTGACGTGACACTGTTCTTGACAGGTCACCAATGACGTCACAGGATCAGACTGCAGACATATTAATCTCCTCCTCTCTGGCTCTCCGCAGCCCTCCCCTTCAGCTTGTCTTCTCCTCTGTGGAGAAGACACAGGCCCATGACTTTTCTCATCTTCATCTTTCCTGGCTCCCTTTTCCCACCAGCTCTCCAGGTGACCGAGTACCTGGAGAAGAGCCCTACACATTTTCTCTCTAGACTTTCTCCCCAGATCACCTCATCCATTTTACCCAGGACTTTTAAAACCATGTTCATTCAAGTCTGTCCTAAATGTGCATCTTTGACCCTGACCCTGGAAATTCATTCATGACTCTTCACATGTTTGGTCAATCCCACAGGAAGCTCTAGAACTGGGATGGCCCTTCAGAGTTATCCCAAATCTGTAATTTGGGCAAGGGCTCAGTGAGGACAGCTCATCCCTGGGGTGGTTCCAAGGACAAGTAGAGACTGGACTCGACAGAAAGCTCACATACGCATAGATGTGGCAGCTGATATCAGCTGGAAGATTCTCATCTAGGATTCTCCCAGGAGCCTCCTGCAGCAGGGTGGTGGGGCTTCAGTGGCAAACAACCTTAGAGAAAGCACAGGGACGCTCAGGAGAGTAGCATCACTTCATAGGACAGCTCACAGTTCACACAGCATTGCTCCTGCCTGCTGGAACAGTGAGGCAGCCTCAAAGACCCACAAGTTAAGGTAAAGGGACAGAGCCCACCTGTCGGTGGGGATGTGGCAAGGTTCTGGAAGAGCAGGTAGGCTGGGAAATGATTTGTGGCCATTTTTTAAAGATTCATGCACCCACAGTCATCCTATATAAGTTAGAGTTCTCCAGGGGAACAGACAGTTGAATATACATATAGAGAGGTACTAAAGAGATTTATTACTGGAATTGGCACGCATGATCATGCAGGCCCATAATCTGCCATCTGCAACCTGGAAAACTGCTTGGCATAATTCATTCCGAGTCTGAAAGCCTGGGAACCAAGCAAGCTGAAGAAAGAACCAGGAGCATCTGAGGACAGGAGAAGATGGATATCCCGACTCTAGAAGAAAGAGAATTCACCCTTCTCCATCCACCCTTTTGTCCTAGTTAGGTCCTCAGTGGATTGGGTACTACTGCCCACACTGGTGAGGGCACTCTTCTTTGTTCAGTCTGCTAATTCAGATGTTAATCTCTTCTGAAAACACTCTCATAGACACACCCAGACATAATAATGTACCAGTTATCTGGACATCTTATTGTCCAGGCAAGGTGACACATTAAATTAATCATTACACCCCAGGAACAGAATACACTCCCCCTCCCCCATTCCACTTCTGAAGTCTCATCCTTATTTCTTTGTCTGGTTGAGGATTGAGGGCCAGGATTGGGTCATCTAAATCAGATACGCAAGAGCCTCTGCCAGTATAGTTGCTAGGTTCAGTCCTTTTGCATTCTCTCTCCAGATCTATGAACTAAAGAGAGACTTCTTTTTCCTCCCATCAAGACACCCAAGAGAAAATGGTAGTAGGGGCATCCGATAGCTGCTATAGGCACACTCAATTTAAGGAGGAAGGAAAGTGGAAACACATAGCACTCACTGTCCCTAACACTTTAAGTCTAGCCTGGCACTTTTTGCCAGCTCCATTTAAATTCAGTTCTACTGCCAGGAATGATTCTCCTTGGACCACCCCGAAAACCCAAAGAGAATTTGGCTTGTCTTTCATTCTTAACAGAAGGGGAAGCAAGATTAAATAAGTAAGTGTCCCTCCTCTTAGAGAGGATGTGGTAACATGCCCCAGACCTCTGGACTCCTAAAATACTTCACCCAAATAATGGATCTTAAGCTCTCTGTAGGGTTCATCTCCCACTCTCTTCAGTGTGTGTATCTCCCTACAGCCTGCAATTTACTTGCCACTTCTCGCTCATCTGGTGTGTCTTGCATGAGGCCACAGATGCAGGATCCCTGTGGAGTCTGTGGAGGGTGTTGCAGTCCAGGCCATTTCATGCTACTTCATAACAGACTGGGAGAGCTAACATTAGCCCTGGGGAGGATGTAAGTGGATAGTGTTGTGTCTCTTGTGAACATGAACCGCTCTGCTCTCCCATTCTGAAAGGGATGCAAAAGAACACATTCCAAGGTCAATGGCCTTAGTCCTTACATCTGAACCAGGCCCATACACTCTAGCAACGATCCCACATCTAGCTTGTGGTAGTTCACCATTATCAGTGACTTTTCTAAGGACCGGACTGATGAATTTCATGGGAAAGTCACAGGGACATTATAGATTGTATTTTTAAGTTTTTAAGTATGACATTAAAATATGCCATTTTCACTGGATTGCGATATCACAATCAAGTTACTCTCTTACCTGGGGATGGAGAGTCAGTTTCACAGGCTTCCGTTTGACCTTCCCTGCTACAACAGTGCTTTACACCACAGTCCAGGAACCAAGTTCATGCATTCTAACTATACATTCAGAGACAGAGGAAATTATCACTGGGTAGCTTCATGGATCCACTATGAACCAAATATAGACCAGGACCCAATTACCTGAACTCCATCTTCAGTCATTTCGAAAGGAGGACCATTGTGTAATTCTGGGTTCTGGGTATCAATGTCAGATTGGATCCTGTGTGCAACAATCCTGTGTACATTACCTGCCACCAAGTAAATGATGGAAAGTCCCTTTAAAGGTAGACTGAGGGTATCATTTCATACCTTCTTCCTGATCCCCAGCCTCTCCTGCAATCCACAGATTCTGAACATTAAAGCTGGCTTGGAATGGAAATTGAACATGGTATCATGACTTGTTTTTAGGATAAGGTTTCTCTTGTGATCACGTATCCTCTTTTATCTTAAGTTGTCATACCCTGTTGGTTGCCCATTTATCTTTCCCTAATAGATGGTTCTATCTCCAAGGCTATATATAAATCAGGACATTCCTTTCTGGTATTCTGACCTTGCCAGTCATTTTAATCATTAGACCATCCTGTTTCTGATTATTCAGAACTACTCTCTGGTCTCTATTACTTGGTATTCCTATTAACCCTATTGCTCATAGGGAGCACAGTTCTGTAACAGCCTCTTCCACAGTCAGCCATGACCTACAGAAGACAGCTACGATTGGACTTCTCCATACTGGTGCCCTCTCTCTAGGACTATCTTATTCCTTCAGGAAATCTATTCCAAAGGCCATCCAGGGAACAGAGTCTGGAGTCCATCCTAGCAGGTCCATCCTCGGAGACTTTTGATCCCTTTTCCCACCACTCACCATACAACTTCTACTTTCCTTCCCATGTCTAT